AAAGCCAATACGACTCTGTGACAGGAAAGAAAAAACCTAAATTATCGTTAATCAGGCCCTGTTTCGTATCCCAAAATGGCCGCTAGTGACATTTCGACGAGGAATTCCTTTATTACACGGGCTGTCACTCAAGTTAGCCTGCTGATTGTTTTTGTATATGCTGTGCTGATACTGCATTGACGTCAGTACTGACCAGTTGAATGTATCACAGTAAAACAGATCAGCGTTTTTTTTTCTTCATGGAAGCTTATATTAGAGAGATATTGGAATACGGCCGTCCACTATTAGTGCCGACCTTACATTATTAGTGCGGCTTTATTGGCTTTTCAAAAAATGACAGTTATTGGAATGCGCATCAAATTTTCAGATAGCCGTTAATTCTAACCTCAGTTTTGTCTTGGTTTCTTTCCCGACTTCTGTCAACGATAGGGATACGGTGCCTTTTTATCTTTTTTCTTCCAAGTTTTCGATCTGTGTGCTGTTTTCTCCTGTTTTTTTTATTTCGTTTTGATATGGATGAGCTTCTGGAAATGCTCATCTTGGATGGAGTAGATGAAGATGATGTGGAATTTGTTATCTTGGATAACTTGTTAATAAACAGGGATGACCTGCCTCAGAGGCCAATTTTTGATCTAAACAACTTCTCAGATCAGGAAATAAAAGAGAATTTCAGGTTTGAGAGAGACGACTTGCCTCTCCTGTTAAGGGCTTCAGGGATTCCTGAAGAGGTAGTAGCACCTACTGGCAATAAAGTGACTGGTAAGTTTTTGTTGAAAATGTAGTTAGAAACGGAGTTGTAGCTCGGGTCTTTATATGTAAAAGAAAGCACCCTTACCTTTTCTTGTACTTAACCCAAATTTTTTAGGTATGACAGCATTATGCATGATTTTGAAACGAATGGCATATCCATCCAGACTCTGATTTGAAGCAATTTTGTGGATGGTCACCACAATCTCTCTCACTCATCAATATTACTATATTGCAATAATAGATAACCATATAGGCCATCTTCTCGACAATTTGAATCACCTGCGTTGGTTAACCCAAGAGAGAATGAGAAATTACGCCCAGGTATAATAATTAGATATATAATTTCAGATCAAAGCCTTTGATTTTTTTTCTTATTTCCACTAATACTGTTTACACCATGTATGTACCTATATTTATCAAAAATAAGATACCTACTTCAGTATACAGTAACTTTCTGCGAACTAAGGTATATTTGAAACTTTTTAGAGCATTCATAACAAGGGTGGCGCCATTGACAATTGTTGGGCTTTTATAGATTCTACATGTCGTGCAATGTGTAGGCCATCCTTAGATCAAGAGGAATATTACTCTGGCCACAAGAAATTTCATTGCCTAAAGTACCAATCAGTTTTATGTCCTGATGGTATATTGGCAAGCTTGAAAGGGGCATACACAGGAAGGAGACACGATGCTGCTATATTCAGGTAGGTACCTACCTTTTTGAGTGGGTGCAGATGTAAAAAATATTGTGGATATTCTAAAAAGCAAGCATTTTTTCAGGGATTCAAGATTATACCAAGAATTGGAACAAAAATCAAGATTTGATGGAGAACAATTTGTTTTGTATGGAGACCAAGGATATGACCTTTTGGCTTTCAAATGTTCCATTTTTGTAACACAAAAAATACACAACTTATGTCAAGTGTCAAAATACGGTCAGGCTGTACCAATACCTGATTTTAAAACTTCCACTAATAATGGCAGGCACTAACACTAGTAGTGCCGACGTTAAATTTGGCAAATTCTGCGCATGCGCAAATGTCAACAATGTCAAAATAGTGCCCGGCACTATTACTGCCCGGCTTTATGGAATCTCCAATATCTCTCTATTATTGATAAAAACGCAAGACTTAAATTTTATGTTGTTTATTATGTAATGTATAAACAGTACTGAAGCAATTTTTCGCCTTACTTCTAGAGACTGAATATTATAAGTAGTCAGCATACTCCTGTAAGAAACGAGGTATGGGTAAATGTTATTAGTTTTATAGTAGAGGTATCTCAAAAACCGCTTCTGGACCTTCTCCAAAGGATCTATGTTGGCCTCTGCCTGAGGAGACCAAACGACAGAGGCGTACTCAAGGTGAGACCTAACCAGAGTATTGTATAATATTACTATTGTTTCGATATTTTTGAAGTGCTTTGTGTTTCTTATAATAAGCCCAATGCTCGATATGCCTTATTGACAACATAATAATAATGATCATTGAATTTCATGTTCATTTGGAAGTTAACTCCGAGATCCTTACACTTGTCTTTTCTCTGCAAAGATCTATCATTTATTGTATAGGTATTTGTGATGTAATGGTTATCCAAAGACTCTCAACGGCTAGGTCTGCTAAAAAAAGAGGATGGTACAGGGTCATTTTTTGTAGGTATTTTTCCACCCCCCTTTACTTTTTTGTGCCACCTTGTATTAAAAAAATTTAAATAGGAAAGTTGTAGTGCTTGAAAAATAGTTCTCAGAAAACATAGTTTTGTTCATACAGGGTGTTGCAAAAATTTTAAAAACAAAAAAATATTTTTTTTTTTAAATGGGACACCCTGTATACTATGACATTTCTGGATTCTGCGGAAAATTTTAGAGATATTTCATGTATAATGTCATATACCTATCTTGAACTGTTTCGGAAATATTGTCAGTAGAAAATTGACTTTTTTGCAACTTTGATAGGCTGTAAAACCTGAACTGTTAATTTTACAGCAAAACCGATTTCACATTCTTTTCGACAGCTTTTCATAAGCTAGCATTTGACACCAACTCTGAATTTAACCGGAGATTAAATTTAATTGGAATTTTTAATCATGGATTAATTTCAAAGTTGGTGTCAAATGATATTTTATAAAAAAATAGGAAAAGCATGTATGATCGGTGTTGCTATAAAATCAACCGTTTAGGTTTTACAGTCTGTCAAAGATGCAAAAAAGTCAATTTTTTACTGTCATTATTTCTGAAACAGTTGAAGTTAGGTATATAACATTATACATGAAATATGTCTAGAATTTTCCGCAGAATCCAAAAATGTCATAATATACAGGGTGTCCAATTTGAAAAAAATATATTTTTTTGTTTTTAAAAATTTTTGCAACACCCTGCATGAACAAAACTATGTTTTCTGAGAACTATTTTTCAAGCACTACAACTTTCCTATTTGAATTTTTTTTATACACAGTGGCACAAAAAAGTTAAGGAGTGTGGGAAAATATAAAAAATTACCCTGTACATATAACACCACTTCAGCTGAAACGACCGAAGTTCTTACAAAGCACATGTTTCCCGACTGTGAGATCTTAGAAAATCACACCTGGAATAACCATAAGACTGTCACTCCTACGGAGGTTGATTGGCTGGTGGCCCAGGAAGTTGTTAGTGAGTCAAAAGTCGAGGCAACAATCAATAGCTTCTCTCCATATAAAGCACCAGGGCTGGTCGGAATATATCCGGCGCTCCTACAGTGGGGTTTGGATATTATCTTAGACCAACTAGTGCTTATTTTCAGAGCGCATTTTGCTCTGGCATACATACCTGAGAAATGGAGAGAGGTAAAAGTAATCTTTATACCCAAGCCAGGCAAAATTGATTATGCTAAGGCCAATTCATACCGCCCAATCAATCTCACATCCCTTTTATTAAAGGCTCTTGAGAGGCTGTGCGAACGAAACTTAAAGGAAGGACCCTTTGTACGCAATCCCCTTTACCGAAACCAACATATATACCAGGGAAATCCATGGAGACTGCTCTCCACGTAGTCGTGTGCAGGATTGAACAGTCTCTGGATTGGAAAATGTCCACCCTGGCAGCATTTATTGATATCGAAGGAGCGTTCGACAGAACGACCTTCGATAATATCAAACAAGGCCTAGCTAGACATTGGGCTCCAACTACCATCACCAGATGGATAGAGAGGATGCTAAGTTGGCGGGTCGTGAAAGTTGATACAGGGGACTACTATCAATGCTCTGGTTAAAAGATGCTGCCCACAAGCTGGTGTGTTATCACCGATCCTCTGGGAGTTCTGGGACCTTGTGGTAGACAGCCTCCTACATAGCTTAAATGATGCGGGATTCCCTACTATAGGTTACGCAGATGACTTGTGCATTCTGCTTATAGGCAAGGTTGAGAGCGTTCTATGCGATCTCATGCAAACGGCTCTTAACCAAATTTCATCTTGGTGTGAGGAGCACTCCATGACGGTGAATCCACTGAAAATGAACCTCTTCACCGGGAAAAGAAAGCTAAGTGGTATGCAAATACCCAGGCTAAATAATACCCAGAGGTCAAGTACTGGGAGTTGTGCTTGATCAAAAGCTCAGCGGGAAAAGACACATTGAGGTAAAATTGGGAAAAGCGAACATGGCCATGTGGCAGTGCCGCAGGGCGATGGACAGGTCATGGGGCCTCACACCCTGTGGATATACACCGCTATCATAAGAGCGATGGTTTGCTATGCAGCTTTTGTCTGGTGGCCCAGACCCAGACAAGTAAAAACGAGGGCCCAACTCGATAAAACGAAACGACTTGAGTGTATCGGGATCACGGGCGCTATGAGAACCACCCCGACGAGGGCAATGGAGGCGGTCTTGGATTTACCACCTCTGCACTTGTATGTGCAGAGGAATAACGAACAAGAAATATGTCATTTTTATATAAGAAACACAAGTCGACGTTTATTTTTTGCCGGCGACTCTGACTGTAGCTGGAATTTAGGAATTTTTGTTAATCAATATTATTTTTGAAATAATGAAAAAAAAAAAAACAAGTATTATAAAAAAAGTAGCGGGGCTCGAGCCTCCCCGTGCCCCTCAACCCGACGCGCCGCCTGTGGATGCAGGTTATATGAATGAATTGTGATATGTGCCACCTCTAACATTTATAACAAATTCTTCATCCAAGTCACACATAAAAATTAGACAAAAAAAATTGCACACCAAAAGTAACCCCTTTCAAATTCCAAAATCTATGCACTTACCATTACCCTAACCGCTCGAGGCCGATAAATTCGAAAGTAAACGAAAACCGATATACGATTCGCATAAACTAAAATACGACACCGTCAAAGGCAATAATTCAATATTACAAAACCCGAATTTGATTCCCGGAACACGTGTTTCTAATTTGACATAATGAAGTTACAAGCCTCCGGAGCGAACTAACCCAAACTCCCGGAGTGGGAAAACTGGAAAGAGAACAGGCCGCACACGGCGTGGCATCCGCCAGCTTCCAGGATTGCAGTATCATCCGAATCTCCGCGTTGGAAAAACCGTTCGGCGAACGATATCGCGGGATAAACCCGGAACTTCCGTAACTTTCCCCCGAAACGTAAACCGGTAAAAGTGACGCGCTGCAGTAGAGGATTTGTTTGTTTGTTTTTTTTTTTGGAATTTTGGGGCGTGTATGTGGTTTGAAAAATGAGGACAGAACTTTTGGAAGTTGTGACTCTTGAAAGGATTTTGAAGCTTTACGGAATGTTGGTTTGTTAAATTATGTTAAAAAAAAGTTTCACAAACAAATAAATGAGAATTATTATTATTAACAGTGTTAGTGTGACAATAAAAATATTCAATGACTTTATTCTTGATTTAAAAAAACCCACTATACTTCAAGACCCGCCCATTTAGAAGGTAAAAAAAAATGTTAAGATTATTTGAAGTTAACTGCAATTAATAGGCCCAAAGAATATTTGACATAATTTTACTAACAATAAAATTTTTAATAGTCATTGAATTTCATTTTATAGCTTTTTTAAAAAATTAGCCAGTGTCAATATATTGTTATGTAAGAATAATTGGGTGAACTTACAACTTCGAGACCCGCCCATTTACACGTAAAAAAAGAACATACTTAAACCTCTCAAAGAGGAAAAGCTGCAAACAATCGATGAACTTGAATACCAATAAAATAATTTTCGGGAAAGTAAAACAATCAAAATAAATTAGGTAATTATATAAGTCATTATAAACTTAAGTATAGCTTTATTTAATATTGGAAAGGGCCATTCCAAGTTTATATTGTCGTTAAAAAGTTTTACTACGGTTTATTTATTATTAAAGTTCCTTAATTTGCGCCACTGTAAATTTATAGTATGATATAAAGTTCGAAGGAGACATGTCACATACGGATTTTTTTGTAGGGCGTTGGCGTTGTTAATTTTATCATATTCTCAAAGTTTTAATTTTGGTATTCTCAATTTAATAATCTGTACCTATTTACAATTATTGTCATATTATGATAATATGATCTTTTGATTGTCATGACAAACGCTGAGCATAGTTAGGCATGAATATGGGCGGTCTATTATTCTGATACATAACATTACAAATAAATCAAATAAAAAGTGAAATTAATAATTCGCATGGGAGTTTTCAGAAGAGACATCAAACTCCGTATAGAAACTGCAACTGCAACTGATTTGCAGGCAAGAACAAAATAATGTTTGACAACTTATAACTTGTAAGTGCCCCAGTTTAAAGTTTCAGCGCTCCGAGTCTTTACACTTGCGGTATTCTTAGATTAGTTTCCGCTCGAGTTGAAAATCACTTCAGCTTCACGCAATTCAACTCATTCAAATTGTGATAGATTGTTTAATAATAATATACCTGAACTTACTGCAGTGTTTTTGGATTGTTCGCTGTTGCTTGTGTTTTACGATTCTTACCTGAAACAGAAAAAAAAATTATTTGTATTAAATTTATCATTAGAAAAATAAAGAGCTTTTTGAGCAAAGTTCAAAGAATGGAGATATAATTTGTCTCACTCTTTGTAGAAAGTTCCAAAGTCCAAAACAATTTTTTTTTCTTATTTTTTTATAATCGGGAAAACCCCATCACAGAAATTATTAGGTACAAAATGAAGTTATAACAAAACAAACAGACCACTAACAAAAAATAAATATATCACATTCCTTAAAAAAAAAATTACAATTTCACTAGTTTATCCATATAACAATTATTATTGAGTTTAGAGTACCCCCACTAGTTTTTTCCTTAAAGGATTGAAACGAGCCATTGGAAATATCTATCCCATTCTCCCTGTTTAAAAATCAGTTCTATCCACACAAAAAAATTTCTCTCATAGTTAGTCCTATGGAACCCAACAGAAACTAAATTATTTTGACTTAAAATTCTATGCAAAACAGCAAATTTGACTTGAGAAAGTAAAAAAAGGACATTAAATCATTGGAGACGTCAGTATACACAGCATCCACCTGGCATCCCCTCTCCAAGGCATCTGTCAGTTTACTGTATGTGGTAGATGAGTAAATTGGTCATTGTAGACCGTCCCTTCTTTAATCCGTGTTGCTCATGAATAGGGATTTCTTTACACTTCCAGTTCAAGTACGTGTACATCAAGCTATCAAAAACCTTTTGGAGTGAAGACTGTATAGAAATGTGCGGTAATTTTTGATATCGTCCTTTCCACCTGACTTAAAAATATGTGAAATGTAGGTTTTCTTCCAGATTTCTGGAAAAATTGATGTGTTCAAGAACAGGTTGAAGAGCTTACATAAAGGTTGAGATAAAGAGTATCTGCATTGTTTCAAAATTACATATGGTACTCCATCAGGCCCTATCATTAACTCATTTGGTAGAGATACTAATTTATCAAACACCTCAGAAACGCTTATGTTGGGACAATCAATATATAGTTGACTATAAGTTTTATTTAGTGGTGCTGTAGTACTATAAGTGTGAACTGCCGCAAAATAATCAGCTAATACGTCCACAATCTTCTGGCCATTTGAAGCCACAGATGTATCAAGAACAATAACCATGCTATTTATACTATTTGTTGCTCGTGTCAAAGAATATAATAGCCTACCGTCTCCAGAATTCCGAATGAATGGTAAAAAAACGCGCCTCGAAATCAAGCCGTCTGCCGTAAACAGCTTGATTCTGCCCTTGATAGTACTGATTTTAGCGCCATCTATGGCCGAGTAGCGGAAAATGCTGAAATAATTTACATATTGATTCAACGGAGTTGCCAGATGCAGTTCTTTATTTAGTCAAAACATAGTGAAATTTTAAAAATATTTTCAGGAAACAATTTTCCAGCTAATATTGTAAGATGTGCAACTTGCAAATATAATTTCACAGCGAAATCTATTGATAAAATTCAGTGAGTGTATTCGTGTCCTTTTCTTGCGTGATAGGAATAATTTTTTTTACGCTAATTTTAAGAATTTTACCAATGTTTTTTGCCATTAAGTAGGTATGGACAGAGCTGTTAAAAATTAGGTGTCAAACAAACATGAATTTTTTCGGGGGTAATATCTATAAATCATTCGTGCTTCTTATTTTTCCGGGAAGATTTGAAAAGGCGAGTTGACGAGTCCTTATTTGTTTGGAAAAAAGTATGAGCGTTATTAAAAACTCGATTTGATGACGAGGGTTTTCACGTGAGTCCTTTTTGCTAAATAAATTGCTTGAAAATTAGTTTCTTAGGTAAGTATATTTCCGCAGGAAAAATTAGAGCACGTATGATATTTAGTAAGATTATTTCCTGACTCAGCAAAACAATTATTTTTATAAGGTATACAGGGTGAGTCCGAAATAAGTGTGCATTTTGTTATGATAGATAGAGTACAGTAGGACAATCTCTTTTTGCATAAGTAGGTACATGTGTCAGCAAACGCCTTGTTAAGAAATTACATAGTGTTGAAATTTTCGGAAAATTTTGACTTTCTACCTTTAGATTTAAAATTCCTTGAGCGATTTGCGATTTTGCTGAAACTTTCAGAGATTTTTTTGCGATATTCTTAAGCGTCTTTCCAAAAAATCCGTTTGAGTTTCATTTTTCCAGGACTAGACCTAGACCGACTCTTTTTTTTTTTTAAGAAAAAAGTGTCATGCCCCTGGGATTTTTGACGAATTGAAAATTATTTTTAAATTCCTTGTTTAATTTTAAACGGAAAAGGTATCCCGAGTTTTTCTTGTTCGATGCGACGTTTACGAGATAAAAAATAAAAATCAATATATTGTTTGGAAAATCTCGTTGTTCGATACACTCCACTCTGTTAAGAAAATAAGAGTCACTCTAGATCCGGTCCTGGAAAAGTGGAACTCAAACGGATTTTTTAGAAGGATGCTTGAGAACATCGCAAACACTCTAAAAATTTGAACAAAATCGCTCAAGACATTTTGAATCTAAGAGCAAAAATTCAAAATTCTTATATTAAATAAAGCAATGAATAAATTAACTCACCTTCTGGTTATCATTGCAAGTTACAAGAAAACCAACATTTTTTTGACCTATCAACAATTTTTGAATTTTCCCACTTGAATACAATATTAAATATTTGAATTTAAAATGCATATTTGTGATTGCTTTAAAATGACAGGAGGGAAATAATCATATATTATATCACAAGAGCTTTAAATTTAATCGGTTAAACTATCCAACATATTTTGAGCATGATTTTGCTCGGAAAATAGTTGAATGCACAATAACTTATTAAAAGTTATTGTGCATGAAACTATTTGCCAAAAAGCAAAATTATGCAAAAAATATTTGGATAGTTTAATCCATTTAAATTTATAGGTCGAGTGGTATACGGCTAGATTATTTCCTGAATAATTAGGATTGAATTGTTGGCGTCAATCCTATCCAAAGAGTTCTATTTATTATAAAATGTCAGAAAATTTCTATCAAAATTCTGTCAAAAAAGGTAAACAAAAATTTAATCGCCGATAAACAAGGTCTTGTGAAATAATCACTTATTTAAACAAAATTCATTGAAAAAATGACGTTGTCTGATGGGTCTATTTTATAATGAATGAAATAATCGCTGATAAACAAGGTCTTGTGAAATAATCACTTATTTAAACAAAATTCATTCAAAAAATGACGTTGTCTGATGGGTCTATTTTATAATGAATGAAATAATCATATATTATATCACAAGACCTTTAAATTTAATCGATTAAACTATGCAACATATTTTGAGCATGATTTTGCTTGGAAAATTGTTGAATGCATAATAACTTAATAAACTTATTTAAAAGTTATTGTGCATGAAACTATTTGCCAAAAAGCAAAATTATGCAAAAAATATTTGGATAGTTTAATCCATTTAAATTTATAGGTCGAGTGGTATACGGCTAGATTATTTCCTGAATAATTAGGATTGAATTGTTGGCGTCAATCCTATCCAAAGAGTTCTATTTATTATAAAATGTCAGAAAATTTCTATCAAAATTCTGTCAAAAAAGGTAAACAAAAATTTAATCGCTGATAAACAAGGTCTTGTGAAATAATCACTTATTTAAACAAAATTCATTCAAAAAATGACGTTGTCTGATGGATCTATTTTATAATGAATGAAATAATCAAATGAAAACCCCCATCACAAGAACATGCTTATTTTTTTTTGTGACCCCATTTCCACTATTTTTAATTTTGAGATCGCTCTGGAATTCTAAAAGTTGTGATATCTCCAACTAATGATTTAAACTTATACTGGTTTTTGAGATATGGATGTTTGAAATTTGACCTTTTTGGCAGAATGATCTTATACTAGAAAAAAAAATCACACATCATGCCTCATGGTTAAACAAATGTTATTTGACGAGAGGTAACAGAAAGGAGGGAGAAGAGGTAAATAAACACACTTTTTGTTTTTGGG